CTGAGCCGAGGGGCCGAGCCCGCCGTTGTCCCCTCCGCACCCCGAGAGCCCCGCTGGCTCTGCCCGGGGTACGCGTCCCACGCAGCGTGGGGGGTCAGCCACCCAGCAGTGTGCCCAGGGAGCTCGGGAGCGGTTCCCATGGGTGAAGCCCAGCTGCGTTCTGGTGGAACTCTGCCTGTGGGCTGGTGCGCGTGCCAGGACGCCGCCGGCGTGCTCAACTGCCACTGCTCCGAATTTACGTGCTTTAGTGTTGATATTTTTATGATTGAAGAAACAGCAGAAGGTTTAGAAAAGGTTCGGGAGGTGAAAACCTGCCTTAAACTTTGCTGGCGGAGGTTACCAGAACCTAGTGGAGAGGGAGCCAAGGAGCCCCGTGGTGGCAGCACACAGGAGATGAATGCAGTCCGTGTTCTCGACCGAGGTCTTGGACGGTGGCTTTCAGCTACGGTGTCTGACTCCTGGGCATTCTGCGGACCGTTTCTGAAGGTCCATAAGGCCAGAAAGCCATTTCCCAAACAGAGAAGTCTGCATTTCTTTTGGAAAATTTCTAGGGCCTAGAGATTCAGGAAGGCTGACAGCTAAATGCTGCGCTAGACTCCAAAGCGACGTGCAGGCGAGAAAGATGTAAACTTTTGATGGTAGCTGATGATAACTACATATAAACAGAGTTTACCTAGGGATGCAGTGTGTTCTTGTAGTCCTTAACTCCGAGTAAATTGTCTTCCTGAAAGATGAGCGGCTAAGCAAAGAGAAATGTTGGCCTTGGCGGGGAAGCAAGGGAGGGGGCTGCCTGTTTCCCGAGCCTGGGGACATTGCATCAGGTCACTGGAGCGGTTTCTTCTGGCCTTCGAGCCTTGGAGTCTGTGAAAGTACCTTGAGCAGTCGTGATCCAGTCTTTGGATGCTGCCTGGAGAGCTGTGGAGCAGCCCAAACCCCTGTCCTGGTTTTGGTTAAATCAGAACCAGTTCTCTTGGTGACAGCCCCACCCCTGAAATAAGACATTGCCTTTGATCTTCATTTGGGAATCAGGTTTGTTGATTGCTCCTCTCTGAGTGCAGCAGCATGTGCTGTATTTCCACGTTACTCGTTTAGCACTAATGAAGTCTGATCTTTACGCTGTGCTGTGTAAGATACCGTCTGCCAGGCCGCTAGTGAACGCGTGCTTTCGCCCCGTGTTACCCGGTGGCAGCAGCGGTTGGCACGATTCCGGTGCCGGGAGAAGAACCGGTGCAACTGAAGCTGTTGCAGCGCTTGCTGGTTACCTGCCGCGTCGTGCGACCGTGGCACGCTCTGCCTTTTCTGCCTGGGTGTCGTTAGTGTTCGCTGCTGTGGTATCCGAACCCCGATTTGCAGCAGGAAGCTCCGTTCCCCTGTGAGAACACGTTCCCAGGCTGCCCAGGTTTGCCTCCCCACATCTTCCCTGCAGCGCAGCCACTGTGCCCGCAGCCTCCGAGCGTTCCCTGGG